GCCAACGCCCACTCAGGCTGTCGGGTCACGTGGCCGCGTGCATATACATGGTGCATTATGCGAGGTTGCACCTCAGACCCCTTCCGGCTTGGCTGGCCTCAGTGTACCGGCCAAACTGCCATCATTTGGACTCGGTGCTCACAGTGACTACCCCAGTCCTTGCCCCTCTTGACTAGTGGAGAGATCCCTGGTTGGTAGGCTTGGGCGTTCCCTTCGTCAGGCCCCAACCCTCAGTATCCGTAATGTTAGATGCATCCAAGCTTGGTGGGGGCCCATCTCAGGCACCTCAGGACACAAGGTCAGTGGGCCCAGCAAGGAACTCTTGCTACAGATAAACATCAGAGAGCTCAGGGCGGTCTGCCTAGCACATCAGGTGTTCTTACTCCCCATCGCAAGCAAGGTGGTGTGAGTTCTTACAGAGAATATGGCAGCCATGTTTTACATCGACAGGCAGAGAGCGGCCCGCTCTTCTCCCCCCTGTGTCAGGAGGCCATTTGCTTGTGGGAGTTCTGCATAAAGCACTCGATCCACCTTGAAGCTTCTCACCTTCGGGAGCCCAGAACGAGCTGGCAGATCAGCTCTTCTCACCGCGAATGGTCCCTATGCCCCGACATAGCACGGGCCAGTTTCCAGTGGTAGGTCACTCCACTCGTAGACCTGTTCATGACCAAATAGAACAGGAAATGTCAGCAGTTCTGCTGTCTGCATGACTGCAACCCGGGATCGCTCACAGATGCCATCTTACTCCCTTGGAGAAAGCACCTGTTCTGCTCCTTCCCCCCCATTCCTTTTGTGCACAAGGTCTTGCTGAGGTCGGGGCGAAGGTTATTCTCATAGCCTCAGCCTGGCCACGTCAGCACTAGTCTGGCTTATTTCTAGACCTGTCAGTAGCTACTCCAATGCCGCTCCCTCCCCTTCTGGACCTGATCTCGCAAGATCATGGCCAAATGCTCCATCTGCCTGACAGCTCCATGGTGAAGCCTGCAGAACTGGCCTGTGTGGAGCAGGTCTGCTAGGTCTTGCTAGGCAGTAGGAAACCATTTACCAGAGCTACTTACCTCCCCGAGTGGAAGCGTTTCTCCATTTGGTCGACCCAGCAAGGCCTCTCACCGGGGTGCCAGAACCTCCCTATGAGTGGGGGGGGGCCCGGGGCTGAAACTGTGACTCCGTCTCTTCCCCTGACACCCTCCGCCCCGCTCCAGCTCTTCTCCTGAGGCTCTGCCCCCTTCCCCCTGCTGCTGAAGTGGCAGGGCCCTGGCCCCTCGGTCCCCCTGTTCCGGCACCCCTGCCTCTCACCGGCTGAGTCATCTCTCAGATGAAGCAGATTCTCCAGAACAGTCTGGGAACAGCCAGATCTAGCGATTCCATCTGTTGAGGTGCAGCTAGCCGCCATCTCTGCATTCTACCCCCAGGTGCGTGGGTGGGTGGTCAGTTTTTTCACATGAAATGTCCCTTCACTTCTTGAAAGGCTTTGAAAGGCTTTACTCACAAATTTGGGAACCCGTCTGTGATAAATGAGGGTGGGTAGCACCCTTATGTAACTCCCCAACCATTCAGTTAGCCTTAGAATCCTCCTTAGCCGCTGTACCCTAATTGCCTTACCTGTGAAGGGTTAAGAGGTAAACGTCAAATGAGTTGGCACTTGACCAGGGGAACCAATAAGGAAGCTGTACCCTCTCAAATTGGGAAAGACTGCTGGGTGTGTGGGTCTTTTGTTCTCTCGGCTGCAGAGGGACAGGGCAGCAGTTATGCTGTAAAAAGCTCTGGGCCAGGTATGAAAAGTCATCTGGATCATACCTAGAAACTACTCATTTGGAACCACAGATATGGAAGTAGAACAGGAAATATTCAGGTAGACGCAATTAGGCTTGTCTCTTTTTATGGCTTGTGGATTCCTCTGTGCTAACCCCAGGTGCTTTTGTTTTGTTGTAACCTTTAAGCTGGACCCCAAGAAAGCTACTCTCAGTGATTAATCCTTGCGGTTGCTCGTTTAAGATCTAGCAATAACCTAACTTTTCCAAAGGGGTTTTCTTTTTCTTTTTTTTAATAAAATTTCCTTTTTTTAAGAGCACGATTGGATTTCTGCCTCTTATGAGGTCAAGAGGTTGTGCATATATTGATCAGCTGATACAACAGCTGGGTTCCCCTTTTCTTTTGTTTCCTTTCTCGGCTTCCCTGAGGAAGGGATGGAAAAGCTGAGGGGTCTCAGAAAAACTTCCCAAGTGAGTTTTTCTGGATTGGCAAAAGGCAGATTTTCACTTGGGTGGTGGCAGCATTACCAGCCGGGAGTGGCCAGTATTAATTTTTAAAAAAGGAGGACTTGTGGCACCTTAGAGACTAACCAATTTATTTGAGCATGAGCTTTCATGAGCTACAGCTCACTTCATCGGATGCATAAAGTGGAAAGTACAGTGATCACTCTCCTTACAATGTATATTTTTTCATGGTCTGTGTGTATATATAAAATCTCCTCACTGTACTTTCCACTTTATGCATCCGATGAAGTGAGCTGTAGCTCACGAAATCTTATGCTCAAATAAATTGGTTAGTCTCTAAGGTGCCACAAGTCCTCCTTTTCTTTTTGCGAATACAGACTAACACGGCTGCTACTCTGAAACCTGTTATTAATTTTTAGAGTCCTTGCAGGCCACCACCTTCTGCACTCAAAGTGCCAGAGTCTTGACACCATCCCCCTGGGGGACTTAAACATGGTCCTGTCTGAGCTCACGGGGCCTCCCTTTGAGCCACTGGCATTGTGCCCTCTGTTGTACCTTTCCTGGAAGGTCGCCTTTCTGGTAGCAATTACCTCAGTCAGGAGGGTTTCGGAGATCAGAGCTCTTATGTCAAAACCTCCGTATAAGTGTTCTTTAACGACAAGGTACAACCTCGCCTCCACTCCGTGTTCCTCCCGAAGGTAGTCTCGCAGTTTCATAGTAATCAGGCTATTTTCCTGACCATTTTCTTCCTGAAGCCGCACAAGAACAGGAAGGAATGGCATCTCCACACTCTGGATGTTAGGCAGGGCACAGTGTTCTGCAAAGAACTATATAGGAAGTCGATCCGTAAATCCACACCGCTCTTTGTGACAGTAACTGTTAGGATGAAAGCCCCACCCATTTCAGCTCAAGGAATTTCATTGTGGATCCCATTGTGCATTCACATGTGGTACGAGCAGACAGGTATCCCACCACCCGCCTTCCTGGCGGCCCGTTCTATGAGATCACAAGCTTTCTCAGTGGTGTTCATGGCCCAGGCTTGATCCAGGACATTTGCAGAGCAGTGACCTGGGCGTCAGGACATACTTTTTCTTCCAGCTATGTCGTCACCCAGCTAGTTAGAGATGACGCTGGGTTTGGTTGAGCAGTGTTGTAATCCACGTGTCCATGAACTCCGAGCCCACCTCTTATGGTTCTGCTTGGGAGTCACTGAAGGTGGAATGGACGTGTTCAAGCATTTGAGGAAGAAAAAATGGTTACCAACCTTTTTGGAACGGTTGTTCTTTGAGACGTGTGGCACACGCCCATTCCACGAGTCACCCTCCTACCCCTCTGTTGGAGTTGCCGGCAAGAGGGAACTGAGAAGGTGCGGGGTCAACCGGTCCCCTCGCACTGCGACATGAGCACGCCGCACCAGAGGGCTCTAGAGCCGGCCTGAGGGGTATCACGGAGGGGAAAGTTTCTGGCGACTGTGTGCGGGGCACGCACGCCTAGCGTGGAATGGACGTGTGCAACACATCTCTGAGAACAACCGTCACAGGAATGTTAGTAACTGCTTTTTGTCTAAACCTGGGGCATAGTTCAGGGACACAGCTTCGTGGGCTCGGCTCTCACCTGTGGTTGTGACCCCAAATTGTATTTTAATCCCTTGACCGACATTTTTCCAGAAGTGATTAGTGATTTTTGGGTGTCTGAGATTCAGAGGCTGGGTGCTCCCACTTTCTGATCACGCCCCTTTAAAAGGTCTCAGGTGGGCACTCATAATCACTAGTGATTGTTGAAAATCTAAGCATTTACCTCGATGTATCTAATGCAGGGTGGGGGAGGAGTGAAAATATTTGGGACCCTGTATGGGGTATTTTTTGCCCCCACATTCTGCCCTGTTTGCCAAGTGAGGGGTCTGATCCGTTCCCCACGCGTTTCAGTCTTCCTTGTGATCCTCACAGTGTTCTCTGTTCACCACAGCATCCCTGTCCCCATCCCCACATCCCCGCCCCCAGCTGTGGGAAAATGGTGGCCAGCTTAACTAAGGACCGTCAATGGCCTGATCCTTACAAGGAATAACCTGGAGACAGTGGTCGTGTGAAAAAGAGGCCAAGCATTCGAAGTTGGTGCTTTGCCGTTCCGAGATTGATTTGGGGGCACGGGGAAGATGGGGCAGGGAAACAGAGGGACCCTGGGGAGTCTGTGAGATCATTAAACCAGAGCAGAGGTTAGTGTGGGGGACAGATCTCCTGTACCCCTTCCCTACAGGGACATGGGGGTACTGTGAATGGAGGAGGTGGGGGACCAAGTCACCCTGAGGACCCTGCAAAATTAATACAACCAGAGCAGGAGAGAGTGGGGTATAGACACCCCAAACTCTCTCCTCCAGAATGACCCTGACTAACAGTATTGGGGGCATCATCAGAGAGCAGAAGAGACCTGGAGGGGATAGACCCCTGCAATATCCAGAGTACTCCCTTTGGGGTTGTGCCACCCTGCACCCCCCGCAGGGAACATACAAGAACAAGCAGCAGTGAGGTACTCTTGAAGGGTGTGAACTCTGCAGCGGGGGGTCTTTAGTGTACAAGACCCAACAGTTGGAGAGGGCGCCCACTGCGAGTTTGGGTTCCCTCCTGAAAGGAGCTGGGAGGGTTTAGGACCCAACAGCATAAGTGGGAACCCCATTTCTCAGGGGAGGGAGGGCCCAGTAGCAAGGGGAGGACCCGCTGAGCTACCTGCAGTGGGGTCTTGGTGAGATTTTCAGAGAGAGGCTGCTGCTGACCCTCAGCTGTGTTTCAGGGTTTCACATTATCCAGATGATATACGGCTGTGATCTCCGGGAAGACAACACCACTTGGGGGTTTTACCAGGATTCGTATGATGGACGAGACTTCCTTACCTTCGATAAGGAGACCATGACTTTGGGAGCAGAAGATATTGGGGCTCAGATCACTAAGAGGAGATGGGATGCTCAAGTATTTGACAACCAGCAGTGGAAACATTACCTGGAGGAGAGATGTATTCCCTGGCTAAGGAATGCTCTAGAGTACGGGAAGGAGACTCTGCAGAGGAAAGGTAAGGCAGGAAGACAAGCCCCACCCAGGAGGTCACTACAAGTTACATCTCCATTCCCCAGCCCCAGTTCCAAAATGGGGTAGGGGGCCATTCAGCTAACCTTGCACCAGGGATGGGTGGGGAAACAACCCCTTCCCCACCAGCGCTGCTGGAAAAAAAGATAAGAAACTGAAAATGTTAAAAGCAGCTCACTGTAGAGAAGCTGATCAAATGAGCCCAAATTTGCAGCACACGTTCTAGCTCTTCCCCTGGTGTGACACAGTAGTTATCAAGGCAATCTGCCAATGCGTGTGCATGTTAGAGCACTTTGCTTAATTATGGAAGAGCCACCACTTCTCTGGACACTAGCTTCATTCACCATGCAATTCTTCCTCATTCACTGTCTATACTATCATATTCGTTGTGTGACCCCCAGCCCCTGTGTTCCACCAATGATGGTAGCTTTGTTCTTGTTTCCTTTGTCCAGACTTCTCCCACAGTCACCTATGTGCTTTCTTCCGTGCCATCCCCTACATGTGGAATTGCCCTCCCCATACTAACCTGGAAGAAGGCTCCCCTTGTCCTTAAAGTTTTCCTCCTCAAGACCTACCTTTGCTGCAACACCCTCTTACTTATTCCTTGATTCTTTTATCAATAAGACATCAGATAATCACACTCAACTTTATTACCAAAGCTTTTTAGTTAAAGATTAATCAGCACAACCATAGAAGGGAAGAGGTTAAATGTTTTACTATTTACATTTGCAACATAGTCTGCTTCAAAATGTTAACTCACTATTAGTCATGTATGTACCTTGTCTGTTACCATGGACACAAATTTCCTCAACTAGTTAGCATAATTATACACCCTAATCTTTCCCTTCCCAAACAGTTTGCACTTGCTGTTCAAGGTTATTTGAAATTTGTACCCAGTTTTTTGCAACATACTAGTTGCTTATTTCTCTCACAAACCTCAGCAGAACATTATTTTGTCCTTTGCCATCTTTACAAATGTCAACAAGAAAAAGCCAAACACAGCAGTGTAATGTATATTTCAGTGCTAAGGGGCTAGGAAATTGATTTTTCAACATTAATGTAATTCCTTTTGAAATCCATAATATTGGGGTAAATAGATTTGGTGGTAACCTACAAGAAATTAGCTCACGAAAGCTTATGCTCAAATAAATTGGTTAGTCTCTAAGGTGCCACAAGTATTCCTTTTCTTTTTGCCAATTAATATTAGCTAGTTTGAGGAGCAGTTTAGCACTGTCACTTTTTGTGACCCTTTCCATCTCTAATTGGTCAGTTTATCCATCCCATTTTTTGCTCCCTGGCTAGGGCAAGATTCTTGTCTCTTTCAAATCCAGTGACTGAGAGGAGATGGGCACAAACCTAGCACATGATTGACACGTGTATCTGGAGCTTAGTGAAGACTTTCAAGGTACTTGTGTCACTGGTTGGGAGCAGAGGCCAGGTCAGGGACCTGGACTGGGGGTTCACCATTGCTGATGCTGTGAATTGGGCACAGAAATCCTCTAACATGGTGGTTCTCTCTCATCAGAGGGATTCCGTCTCATGGACTCTCATCCTCTCCCCCCGCTGGGGTCTCAGAATTTCATGCTGCAAAGCTCCAGCAAAGGTTGCTTGGATTAGAGCTTGAAAACAACTAACTTCAATTTCTTCTTTTTCCTAGTGCGCCCAACAGTTAGAGTGAGCGACAGGTCATCTCATGACGGCCTCACCACCCTCTCCTGTAAGGTCAGTGGGTTCTACCCCCGGGACATCACCGTGACCTGGCTGAGAAATGGGGAGAGCAGACAGCAGGAGACCTACTCTGAAGGCATCTTACCCAGTGGGGACGGGACCTATCAGACCTGGGTGACAATGGAGATTGATCCCAAGATCAAAGCCCATTATTCATGTCATGTGGAGCATGAAAGCCTGTTAGAGCCACTCTCTGTCTCCTGGGGTAAGGAGTTTGTGTGTTTTCCGAGTGGAAGAGGGGGAATCCATTAAACTCAAACCCTGAAAAATTCTCATTCGGATTTCTAGGCTGAAGTTGGAATTTCCTCAGGGTCTGTGAGGCCCTGTCCTTTTTGGCCCTGTCCCTCTGCAGTCAAGTTCTTGTGCTAGAGTTGGGACCCACAGTGCCTGGGGCTCATGTCTTGCTCTCCAGTTTGCTGCCTCTGGGGCTGTTCGATACATCTCAGCAATACACTGTCTCTGAAGGGAGAAGATTAACAGTGGGACATTAAGGCCTGAAGGGACCATTCTAATCATCTGCTCTGAGCTCCTGCATAGCCCAGGGCAGGGAGGGAATCACACCAGGGACCCCAGCAACCAGTCTGGTCATCTGTGAGCAAACTAGAGCTCATCCTTCAGAAAGAGATGCCCATTCCAGATGTAAAGTCTCCAAGGGATGGAGAATTTACCACATCCCAGGGGAAGCTCAAATCTGCCCCTTATTTCCAGACAGAATTGGTCTTGGTTCAGCTTGCAGCCCGGTCTCAACTTCAGGTACTCATGGTCCTGCCATGAGTGCAGGGGACGGGACTAGATGACCTCTCGAGGTCCCTTCCAGTCCTATGATTCAGCAGGTTCTCGGAAACACAGCTCTACGGGCCCTTCATTCTTGCCCATGTGGCCAGAGAGAGAGGTTTAATGTTGGGAGCAGCTTGTTTCTGTGTGCAGTGATGCTGGAAGGGAGGTATGGCCTTGGAATGGAGCGAGGAGGCAGATTAGAGCCCTGCATCACGGGGGAGAGACTCCTATGCCCCTAGCACAAGAAAGTCTAGGAATAATTTATTACAGATGGAGCTGCCTTCCAGCCATCTTTTTGCTTGGTTAATTGGGATGGGGAAAAATGCAGCATTTGGAAGTGCAAACGATTTCTGAGAGGGCAACCTGCACCGGGACTCTCGTCAGCAGACGGTTTCACATCACGATCCTGCTCCCACGTCCCCTGCCAATTTTTGTGTCATAACCCACATTTCCTTATTCTCTTCGAAATATTTTTCTTTTGCTGTATTATCATGTGGCTCTTTCAGACAACAGGAGAAGCTGATTAATGAAACTGAAAGTGTATACAGAACTCGGGGTTTAACAGGTTTATATAAACCAAAAACAGTATTAATATTTCTGTCTTCCCCTCTTCACTTCCTGCCCCCTCAAAAAACACGCATTGTGTCTGTAACTCCATTCATGGCAGAGAAATCCAGAGCTTTGAAGTCAGTTTCCAGTTTGGCACCAGACTCCCACAATGGGACTTGTTCCATTAGTCATGAAAGTCAGCCTGGTCAAGGAGGGTTAGGGGCTGGGAGCCAGGACTCCTGGGTTCTGTCTCTGGAAGGGGAGTTGGGGTTAGTGGGTTAGAGCAGGAGGGGCTGAGAGCCAGGATTCCTGGGGTCTATTCCTGGCTCTTGCACTGCCTCACTGTGTGATCTTCAGCAAGTCTCCCCCCTTTCCCGTGTAGGGACGATACTGACATCCATGCTCTCCCACGGTTCTGAAGATTGGTTAACGTTATAAAAGTCTTCGAGTTTAAGTGCTAAATATTTATTATGACTGGAAGTGGTAGAGACTGTGTCCAGGACTTCCTATGGTGGGGTGCAATGTATGGTGGCTGCACTGGAAGGGATGGAGCATTGCAGGACTCAGCCTTAACTTGGGGAGCTGACTGACGGATCCCTGCAGTGGGATGAAAGGGGGATTTTAGTGGTGGGGGAGAAGGGGATTTTTCCCCATTGTTCATTCTTTCCATTCCATTTCAGAACCAAATAACAATCTGATTCCCACTGTGGCTGGAGTTATCACTGCAGCTGTCCTGATTGGTGTTATAATCGGAGGTAGTGGTCTGGAAAAAGAAACGCCCAGGTAAAGAGCCTGGGATGGGGGGATTCTCTGGACTTGCCGGGCTCTGCACACCCGCCTAAGGGCAACAGCAGTTCAGGAGCCTGTGTCAGTACGGTGTAACTGCCCCATTGCGGGACTGAGCTAATGACCCCCAATGGGAGCTGCTGGAGGGCCAGACCCAGAAACTGGGTGCAGGTTACAGTTTATATGGGGCTAGGTTTTCCATAGAGCTCAGCACCCAGTGCACAGAGGTCTGTGGAAACTGTCTCATTGTGTCTTTCTCTCCTGCCAATTGTGAGCGCCTGGGACCTTGAGTCCATTACTGAGCGCCAGGGGGCTGTGCTGGGCCAGGGGCCCGGTTTCTGAGCTGTGGACACAGATCGGAGTCGGTTCCTGCCTTGGGAGCTGAATTCACTGAAATTTGCCTTCTCTCTGCAGGGAAGAAGGGAGACGGCTATGCTGTAGCTCAGGGTAAGTGACAAGAGACCCATCGCCTCTTTTCAAGTGGCCATCTCTGAACAGCCATCAGTATTTGCTTGTGGATTTTAGCCTGGAGCCACTGACAGGAGATCCTCGCTCCCACTCATAGGCCTTGTCTACACTGAGGATTTTAGGGAAATCTCCAACTATTGCTCTAGTACCATAGAATCGTAGGACCGGAAGGGACCTTGAGAGGACACTTAGTCCAGTTCCTTGCACTCATGACAGGACTAGGTATTATCTAACCCATCCCTGACTAACCTGCTCTTAGAAATCTCCAATGAGGGAGATTCCACAACCTCTCTAGGCAATTTATTCCAGTGCTTAACCACCTCTTCCAGTCCTTTCTCCCATCTTCCATGACTTTTCAGAGCTATTGACTCAGATATCTCCTCTCTCAGTTCCTTGACTATTCTAGGATGCTTTTCATCAGGCCTTGGTGACTTGAAGACATCTAACTTGTCGAAATAATTTTTAACTTGTTCTTTCCCTATTTTAGCCTCAGATTCTACATCAATTTCACTGGTGTTCACTATGTTAGACATCCAATCACTATGACACGTTTGGGTGAAAACTGAAACAAAAAAGTCATTAAGCCCTTTTCCCATTTTCACATGTTCTGTTATTGTCTTTCCTTCCTCATTGTCTAATGGGCCTATCCTGTCCTTGGTCTTCCTCTTGCTTCTAATG